ATAGGTTATTATGAGGGACTAGGTGCTTATAGATCAAGAAATATCCCAGGCACCTGATAATGAATGACCCACAGTAATTATCTAAACTGTCCAGAAAACATCACAAACACCTGCGGCCCTTATAACAACCTATAGTAATCACCCCCAAATTAGGCCATTGTGGGGCAGAGGGTTCTCCCCAGGGATTTATAGAGTAGGGGTTTCCAACTGTTAAATTTTGGATAAATAGAACCAATTTAGAATAAGTCATTAACATATTCTCTTGTTATGCAAGTTGGCCACGCAATATACAATTTTTCCGGGGAGAACACTGTCTGAGGGAGTTAATCTACATCTTTACTAAGGGTAAATGGTGTTAGGAATTATACTGTGGGGATTTCACTATGAAGGTCAGAGCGTTCTTGGGATAGTTGCTGGATATGTGGGGACAGAATGCTTGCAGTGGGTAGTTCACTACAAGTGGCAGAAGATTTTTAGGATAGTTACTGTTTGCTCTATTACATAAATGACAGTCTATGGGCATAAATTTAGTATACAATTTTTGGCTATTTCTACTTCTACTTCTAACAGAGCAAATACGGTAGATACAAGGCAATTATACACAAAACAAACATTATTACAGTTTCTTCAGAAAGCATTTTTATTTTTACTTGTTAAACTTCTGTATGACAAAATATAGACCTAGCCTAGAGCATTGTCCATTATCAATGAAATGACAGGAAGTAGTACACATACTACATGTCCAGAATATTAGTATACAATCAACTGGTAGCACAAGACAGATTCAAATTCCAAGTAACCCTAAGTATAAAAATAGTTCTCTTTCCAAGGAGTTTGGATCTATCCGTGCTTAGGCAAACGGTTAATTTAGTCAGGACTAGAGTATTTACACACTTCAAGATGACAAATCTCACTCATAAACCATAGTATGAAAACTGCTCTTTATAATAATGAGCTCTGTAAGAATTCATCCAGTGGTTTACGAGAATTAACCAGTATTGTATAGTGAGCAGGTTTTTCTATGTTTGTACCAAAACGAAACCTCAAATTAATGCATCCTTAGTTTGTTGCCAGACTTTCAAAAAACTGTTAGTCTATAAGAATTTAAATAAAATTTTGAAATGACCAGCATTGACTGATTTTGTTCCATTCATCTCTTGAAATGATGCTCAAGTACAAATAATTTCAAGGCAGGTACTTCGCGATAAATAATTGAAACTAAGTAAAACATTGGTACAATCAATGAGATTAAAAATTGGTGAAGGGAAAAAATGTACAGATGCAATAATTTGTAGGATTTTATCATTGAAAGTCATAACTACATACATTTCATAAAATTCTCCTTTCTGTTGAAATTTTCCGTTTGGTCATCGTTGCCAACAAATGCTGACTTCACTAGTAACAAATGTACAAATACAAATCAAATAATACTGATTTTAAAAAGTAAGCATAGAACTGACTACATACATGTGAATGAACAGCAAGTTAATCATCGATGTATTATTGGATCAATTAATGCAACAAAACGAAAATGACATTTTTGAATCAAAAATCCGTCAAATGCAATATTTATACAGCATGCCTGATTACAGCAATTATGCCAACACTATTACAATTAAAAATACGACAGTAGAAAATGATTATACATAGAGATACTGGGGGATTATAGTACATGAATTCATCAAACTAAATTCACTATTATTTTTGCGGCTGGATACCAGAGACACTATAGAATACATGAACACAATGGCGAGTCCATGCATTAATTTTCTTGTTCCCCCAGCACCTTTAGATAGCCCAGTTAAAAAAAATAAAACTTGTTGGCACTTGCTATTGTCCTTTGATATAATAATCAGAAAGCAAAATTAATGACAATTTTAAACTTTTCATTATGAAAATTGTCTGGGGAGCATGCAGTCTGAATCTGAATCTGAATCCCGTAACCATCTATACCACCATAGGGCGTAGCGTCTGATTAGCGATTAAAGAATCTATTCTATTAAACCTAAAGGTGTTATTAAGTACCAAAATGAACCTGCAATTCAGCATATAAATAAAATGCAAGATAATGAAATATGAATATCAAATAAAGTAATATTTCTCAAGTTTTTACAATCTAGCCAAAAAAAACGAAAGTCGATAAAGGCAATTCTTTTGTTTCTGAATATGGAATATTTTAAGAAAATTTATGCAAAGAATGTTATAAATCATGAAAAATTTGTGGTTTTTTTAATTTGAAAAAAACAACAAAGTCAAAATATTACAGCAGTGACACATGCACAAATTTGTCAATTTTAGAAAAAGTAACACATCGAAAAAACTCTTATTTTGATGCAGAGATTACCACCCATATTGTTAAGCTGCTATTGCTGCTTCCGTCTTAGTATTGCAGATGGAGTACAGGGTATAAATTTCAATGTCAAAATAAGAAAAATTTTCTGTGTTACTTGCTAGCTCCAGTTACCATCAGTGAATTTAAGTAATTTTAAATATGATTATCGTACGTTTTTAAGGTAAAACGGATATCTGCAATGTTCTCATTACGAGTAGTTATTTTTGTGTTTTAACGCAACAGACTAAAATTTGCATTTAGTAGTGTTCATTTGACCTTAAAATTGTCATTTAAAGTCGGATGCGGGTCACTTACAAAAATAACTACATTTTTCATTCAATCTTGAATTGATTTTATGCTCAATTAAGAAAGGAAAATATGATCATAATGGAGCAACTCAGACCTTACTTCTCGGTAATTCAGCAATGAATGATGATATTCTGCAATTATATACTAATTGGGTTCATGTTGCAACTGCAATTTTGATTCAATAAGTAATACCATGCAAACCCAGTACTGCTGAAAACGATACGATCTATAAAATATTTGGCTGAAAACTAGTAATATGACACAGACAAGATCCCTGAGGTACGACTTCTGGTCAATCAATCAATCACAGAATTGCTAATATAATAAACAAACTGCTTGATCTGTTGAAAATTAATAAATTGCGAATAAAATGTATAAAATATTGGCAAATAAATGAAGTTGATTTGAATGGCTCACTGGTAATAAAATGCTGGCAGACTGGTACTTCAATGCTGCCCTCACAGTCTGAATATGTAAAATGTTTCACTGACAGGTTTTAACTGCCTGATAATGCTTAGGTAGAGAGTACCATGAAAGGGCTGGCAGTATCAATTGGGGAAACATACTGTCTACAAAATATGAGAAGAGACCTGTTAACAGGATCTAATTACTACGAATAAAAAATATATAAACTGCTTCAAAATTGCGTCAAAACAAATCGGGAATGAATAAATCAATCAAAAAAGAATTTATGTATCAATTTACAAAAAAAAAAAATTAAAATATATTGGGCATCTCTTCTCTGTAGACAATTATAATGCTTGTATTTTGAGAAAAATATTGGTACCAATTCTACTGCCAATGCTAAAGCCAATAAAACAAAATTAGCAAAAATATACGACTCTGTTACAATGATTTGAAAATAAGTTCCACAAGTTCTTTCAATCTAATCTACAAAAAAGCGAACATATATGTAATACAAAGGCAAAAAATATAAAAGTTTAAAAAAAATATTTCATGTAGGCCAAAATCTTCACATATAGATTATCATTTTGTAAGTCAGTTCATAGACATGCTCACTTAACAAAAGCCATTAAGTACATCTTCAAATATCCAACACGTAGGTAAATCACTTCTGTACAAAACTTAAGCCTGAAACATGGCTATATATTGTATTCTTTAAGTACATAGATATATGTTGACTCTAAAATACCACAGCTAAATTTTGATCCTCAAATACATGTAACAACATTTAGAATCAAGTCAACATGGTTTTCATTCATTCTGGAAGTTCTTAGTAATTACAAAAAAATGGTCATCCTATTTTTTTTTAACACAGACTACATTCCACAAACTATGTCACAAAATAGAAACGCTGCCAATACCTCACAAAAAGCACCAACAATAAGCATGTACCGATTTGTATGCAATAGTTCTTGCAAGGTGCAGACTTGGAAGCCAAAAATCACATTTGCACCACTTTCTACAATTCAAAAGCAAATTAATTTCTCTCATTTTTTTCGATCCTTTTCATATTATTTTTACAAATATTGTAATATAGTTAATTTCAGTTACTACAAGACATAATTTTGTAAGTACTTTTCCACAGTCTATCTACATATTTTTCACATCTACATAAACCAGTTATACTTTTGAAAAGTTTTTTCTTGCAGCTCCACATAACTAGGAAAAACTTGTCAAGACAATTCTTGGTCTGCATAAAGGACAAGGTATTCTAAATGTTACTATGCAAAAGCACAAGTATGAGGTATTTCGGAAACAAGTTCACACTGCTCAAGCCAATCTGGACTAAGGGGAGTTTTATTTGCTTCATTGTTCAATAGTCCAAATAGTCTTATCAAATCTCCCCCTTAATTCTTGAACAGTTTGTTATAATTGTTCTTAGTGTTCAGCATTTTCGGATGCTTGTAAAACTTCTTTTTTCATGTCATGGCCAAAACTCTCTCTCTCTGGCGTGCCATTTTCTGGAATGTGTGCCTGTGTGAACACTGGTAAAGGTGTGTGGTTCTGGATGACTGAGATTTCATTTGGTTTTGGTAGAATACCATTGGTCAAAACTGGGTACTGGAAGTAGGGACCATCCATTGGGTGTCGAACTAGGAAATCATGTCTGAAGATCTCTCCTTCCTTTGGGCTAATAATCATTGGAGCAGTGTCCATGCTCATGCGACGTCCACGACGAGAACTGCCACCATTCCACATGTGTGTCCCCATGTGAACTTTCATGTTTCCTTTGGTAGTGAAACAGCGATGACAAATGTGACATTTAAATGGCTTCTCGCCAGTATGTGTACGCACATGGATCTGCAGAGCACTATCTGACTGAAATTGTTTACCACATGTGTTACATGCATGACGTGGCTTTGGACGCAAACTATCAGAATTCAGGTCATGGTTGTGGACAACTTCTTGAGGAGGACTTTGTTGGAAATCTGCTTTCAAATTAACTATGTTGTTAGTTTCAGGTTCAGTAGGGACTGGAGAAGGTGCACGATTCATAGTGACAGGTGGCGAGTTTTCAAAATTCTGCATTGGTAGATCTCTAATTTTATGGGTTAGCATATGCTGCTTCAAGTTACCTTTAGTCGAGAATCCCTTGACGCAAATATCACAGCGAAAAGGTCTCTCTTTGGTGTGGCTACGGTAGTGGATCTCCAGAGCACTTGCACATGCAAATGCCTTCCCACATATGTTACACATTGTACTGAGTTGACCACGTCTAACAGATGCAGTTAATCTGTTTAATGAATCGTTTGAGCCACTATCCATTGGAGATAGTGGGTCTGACGATGACATTGGTGTATAAGCAGGCGATGGGCTGCTACTGCAGCTTTCAGTGGTGGGTTTTGAGCTCAGATCTAGGGCACCATTTTCATGAGCATAGGATTCATCAATTTGTAGTGGTCTGTCATTGAGTTCATCAATCTTCAAATCTGGGCTTGTGGAACCGGATTCAGAACCAGTTGCTTGTTCAAAGTTACTGCTGCATGGTGAATTTGTCGTTACAGGAGAGCCCAGACTAAGACTTCTGGGTGGGTCATTTGCTGGTCTGTGAATACCATAAGTATTTACAACTGAAGTTATGTTGTGGTGGAGTGCATTAGCTATGGAGTCCACGCTCTTCATAGTAGACATCGGTCGAGTAGTGATGACACTTGCAATGCTTCTTACTTGGTTTTCCAATGCATTCAGCGATGCTGCTCCAGTGGTCATCGGTGAAGGAAAGAATACAGAATCTTCCAATGGCGAGGATTTGTCATTTATCAGTGGTGGTGGGCTGAGATTATCCATGGATGGTTCTGAATTGGATTCTTTGTTTCCTATGCTTCTTTCATACAACTTGTACGCTTCTTCATTTGGTGTCTCGGAAGAAATTTCATGTTGCGATTCTTCCATGTCGTCGTCCAACATCATATCAGAAATTGACGAATAAGCTTCTGATGACAGATGAGCAACTTCACCGGTGTGCATGCGGATATGTTGCTGCAAGACCATAGCATTAGTGAACTGCTTATGGCAAACAGGACACTTATGGAAGACTCTCACTGGTGGCTTTGATCGGTGTACTCCATAGTGAGTCTTCAGGTTCCCCTTCGTGGTGAAAGCACGAGTACAGAGTTTGCATTTGAAAGGACGCTCCCCTGTATGTGTACGGTAATGCATCTGTAGAGCACTTTTACAACTTAAGATGCGATGACAGATGATACATTGATTTGGATCGGTCAGCTTCTGCTCGATATTCTCAACCAGTTGCTGCAGTTTAGACGTCTCTGATGCTTTCATGTTGCTATCAAGGACAGCTGTATATGGTGAGGGAATGGTCGTTCTGGGTAAAATACCTGAAGTAAATATGGATACTTCAGATTTTGGAATGACTGGTATAGACATCTGAGGCATGGAAGTTGCTGATACTACGGTGGTGATTGAATTCATGTTGTGTGGATTCATCGGTGACTGCATAAGGGAAGACTTCTTCGCATTATCGTTAACATCTGTTGAGGTAGGAGAAGGTGTTTCATCAACTTCATCTTCCATTGCAAAATCTTCTTCATCCCCAGATCTTGTATCTTCCTGTACAATTTCTTGGCTTGCGTTGTCATCTCCATTTCCACTAACACTGCAGTTTTCGTCCTCCGTTTCTTTTTCTTCCATACTGGGTGGTCCAGGTTGGTCATCAGTAGAAGGTGGGAATACTGAAGGACTTGTTGCATTGACTGGTAGACTTGGTAATGTGGTAGGTACACTGGGTGAAACATCATGTTCTGAGGTAGGAACAGGTAACTTGGCAACATCAATATTCTTGGGAGAATCATCTCTGAGGAATGATGTATCATGCTTGACGCCTAGAGAAGTATGCATCATCTCGCCAGTGGAGGTAGAGTAGAATGAAGGATTAGATGCATTACTTGGTAGACTTGGTGAAGTTACTGGTAAACCTGGAGATGTACCATGATCAGGAACAGAGGCTGGTAACTTTGCAACATCATTTGGTACAGTTGGAATTGGCAGATGATAACCTGGAAAGCCAAAAGATTTCTTCACTTCAGTGGGTGATGGTGGGTATGGTCGTCCGTCCATTGGTACATGTGGGTATTTAGCCTTATGTCGTTGAAAATGTACCTTTAAGTTACCCTTGGTAGAGAATCTGTTACCGCATATGGTACACTTGAATGGACGTTCCCCAGTATGAGATCTGACATGAATTTGTAGTGCACTATCACTTCCAAACACTTTGTGGCAGAAACGACACTTGTGTTTGAAAAAAGGGTCTTCTTCTCTGATCTTTGGGTCATACACAGCAACATTTGGTGGCTTGCCTTTACGGTGCATTGGTAGAAGGCCTGCAGACATCTGTGGCATTGTTGGTGGCAGAAGTGGGTTAGCTACAGTGGTCATGGCTGCTGTTTGCTTTAAAATGTCAAATGGATGCTGAGGTAATGGAAAAGTGGTGGGTGAAAGTATACTTGGACGTTGTTGTGCTTGTGTTATTTGAGGTGTCATTGACAAAGATTCTGGTCGAGAACTAGGCTTTGACTGCTGTGGTGGAGGCAGCGGTGGTAGCTGTTCTTGTTGTGGTGGCGCTGACTGAGTTGTCGGAACTGGAGATGCGGATTTCGTCTCAGGTTGCTGAACTTGATTGTTAATAGAGCTCTGCGAAGTACTTAAAACAGAAGAACAGATAGGTGGTGACAACGCAGAGTGTGGTGTTGGAGGTAGAGATGGCAGCGACACTGGGAATGATGGCGCTGTTGTGAAAATAGATGGAGTCTGAACAATTACTCCTGCTGCAGATGACAGACTCAGTAGCTGGTGTTGTATATGCTGGATCAGCTGTAGTTGCTGTATTTGCTGCTGTTGCAAAGCATATAACTGCTCTTGGATAGAGCCAATATGTTGTGGCTGTGTTGATAGTGGCATCGGTGGAGGGTATTGGGCCACTGCAACTTGAGTATTCTCAAGGTTCTCCAAAGAAACATTACTCATAGGTAAACCATTATCATCTTGAGACTCATTATTACTAGCACAGTCCATCGACTCTTCGTTACTGTTAGAAACTGGAATTTCCAATTCACTCTTGTCAGATTTACTAATTTCAGAAGAATTAATACTTCTTTCGTCAAAGTTAATCTTCTCGGCATCGTCATCAGTCTTAAGTCGTTTTACATGTCCGTTATATTTTGAACTGTCTTCACCATCATCACTTGCATGTTCATCATCTTCAAAAAGAAGTACAACTCGCTTCTTGGTGCAGGTCTTCTTGTGTTGTATAAAATCTGGAAGGATGACAAACTCTCTGCGACATTTGCCACACACATGCACATCTCCACCCATATCTTCCTCCACTTCATCACTATGAAGGGTGTCTTCATGTTGTTCATTTCTAGACCCTACAAAATAATCAGAAAAAAAAAGAATAAGTTGTTTTGCTATATATTAACATGCATCTTAACAATTCTTTTATTAATTACCTTTGGCCACTGAGAAGTTTATTCTCTACTTCCAAGTTTGTATATCAGTGATGCTTTGGTATTAAATAGACTTTAAGACACAAATGGCTACAGATCTTGATGAAAGTGACAGTTATTCAATTTGGTGGTGGGAGGAGCCACAAGACGTGTTTTCACATCCCAAAAAGTGTTCTCTCATGACCACATCCACCATTTCCCTTATCTGTATAACCATAGAATTCAGAACAGTTAACACAATGAAGACAGACTATTTTAGAGATAAAAACAAGTCTATTTGGCTCTAAACAAGATCTCGGTACCATTTGCATCTAAGACCTATTCACCTAGATTCCCATTAAAGTATTCCACAATGCAATGCTGAAAGTTATATAATACATGTACACAATACATACACCAAGCCACGAGTTGAGTGAATAACCAAACAAATTTCATGTTATTTAGTTGTTAAGCTACCTTGCATGCATGCCAGTGTCAAATTTGTATGCAAAGTTGAGGTGGTTATACTTCCGGTCATACCGAAATACTGTTTTATGCATCTGAAGCAGTAACGATGGATGATGTCTTTTAAAATTGTCAAAAATACCAGCACACTGTCTTACGAATGACTCATTTTTAAGTGTCATCAATTTTTTGGAACCTGATAAATCAGCATTTAACAAAGCAAAAAAAAATGTCATTTTTAGTTGTCGTTCGAACATTTATCCTGCTACATAAAAATAATGAATGTAAGGCATAAATTCTGTTTTTTCACATCTCAGTTAAAAACATATCTCAAGAATTCAAATGGAATTCCAGCCATACACAGAAAGAGACAGGACAATAGAATACACTACTACCAAGTGATTGTACCAACAGAAATTTCCCTTTGTTAGAAAATTCAATGCTCTAAGCTCATCCAAGGATAGCGCTTTATGAAACAGATTTAAATAATAGTTTTTGTTGCTGTGCAAGAGCGAGTATTTCAATATTACAAAGAGTACAATAGCAGGTTTTATTGAAAAATACTGTGTTGAACAAGAAATATATTGGAAGCTTTTTTTTATTTCCCTCCCACAGAGTTGTTTTTATTCCCTGCATGTGGATTATTCAGTCATAGCGAGTCATAATCAACGACCATGTCCAATTTACTACAGGGAATATTCTGGTTTAACCATAATTTTCAGAAATAAAAGTGTTACAGAGGCCAGGGGGCTTGTTGACACGTGTAAAAGATGCTGAAGAGGTCATGCTTCCAGGAACACCTCACACTGCAAACACGACAAGTCTAAGAAATTTACTAGATGGTGATATTATTACATTTCATGTGACTGGAATATTAAATCTACTCACTAATGAAGTAAATTGCATGAAAACCAAGCTTAACTTTCCCAGATTTGAAAGTTATGCATGGGCTAAATAATGACAACTACGATCAGATAAGACTGTCTTCAGGGGCTGTCACACTAACAAATCCTAATGTTCCTTCAATCTCACTTAATGATAGGTCTACTAGACGAGGTCAAATTAGCCAGCTTCAACATGAAGTGTAATTTTCTCCATAGCATCTACTAAAAAGAGCCGGTACCCCGATTGGTAGTGATAATTGCAGTTATTGACCCAGAAGTGGAAATGCTTGCAATTTGTGCGAGAAATGGCTGAAGTGTCAATCTTTTGTACTGAGAATATTGAACAAATAAAAAAGAATTTATTTCTTATAGATGAATTCCTTTATTAAATTATTTTAAAATGACCATGCAACTTTTCCATTCTGTGTCAATTTTTAAAAGAAATTCTGATCAAAGTTAAGCAGGTATTACATTTAGTAACTTTGTACCACTAATAGGGATTTTTAATGTCTGGAAATTGAGTCGTAGATGACTTTCACCTCTGTTGCCACTGTCCTGTTTTTTTTTCTTCACAGGTTATTTATGATTCCTTAGATTGTGCTGTCAAACCGACAAGATTGATACTGATAAACGTTTTCTTTATTCTGACACACTCCAAATTACACCTTACCTCATCAGCACAACTATATTGCCATGGTTACCAAGATGAACATGACAGAGCTATGAATGTTGTTAGTAAGAAAAGTCCCACCTGTCCGGTTTTGAGAACTCGTTTTGAATATTAACAACTCTAATTTTGTAATGACCAACACGACTGTATATCAATAATCTTAAAATCAATACAGTCCATTTTCCACAAGTCTATCTTACGAGTCTTTTTTTATCTCATTTCACAAATGGCCTAACATTCTTCATGATGGAGACTTTTTTAAAATTTCTTTTTGCATTTTTTTCTTTATTGAATTTGTAAAAATCTTGGTCTCAATCCGCAGAAAAATGTTCTGTCTAAATTTAATTTTAGTGTTCAGAGTAAAATATTACAAATATTTTTTTTTTCATATTAATGACCATAAAAACAGATTCCCTCAACCTTAAATGCTATCCCCTCAATGTCAGAAATAACATTTATTTGTGCTATCCCATTGAGAGTAAAATTCAATGGAATACAAGTTAACATGAAGTTTGACATTACATGCATGGGTGGACATAAAATTTGTGTGAAAATCTCTACTATGTCTCCGAGGCATCATTAGAAGAGACCATCCAGTCGCTAACTTTATTACAATAACTAAATATCTGGCAAATATTTTCATGTTATGGCATAGTTCGTAACCTTCAGTTCTCATTATATACCAATTTGCCTTAAAATGAAGTCATTTGGAATATGGCACGACATTTGATTTAAAAAGCAATAGACCATCCTATTTGAAATTCTAAACAGAGACATTTCATAGCTGGATAATAAACTTTTCTGAAATTCGTTTGCTTGCAGACATGGCTTGATATATTACTAACATCATCATTGAGAAATTAACCTAGGAATTTTATAGTTATTTTTCTGTCATAACCCTTGTAGACCTGTGTCACTTTAACAGATTAATTCACAACATAATAGCAAGGATTATTGCTCACCGGGGCCTGGGTATTAAAACGTATTGCACATCTATGCTCAATATATGATGTGCGCCCTCTAGAGGCAGCTGGAGTTACTATAGCCTCCAGTTGTAAACCACTGTCAGGCAGGGGGTGGCTAGGTACGAGAGGGTGTACATATTAGTTTGGCAGCAAGATTCTGAGATTACATTTCATCATATCTTCAGTCATCTGAAATTTAATTTCGGTTCAGTAAGCAAGTGTTTTGCATTTTTTCTATCATTTTTTACCCTGTGGCTGTGATTTGCCTGGACCTCTGGGGTATAAATTTAAGCTGACTTGAATGAAATATGAGCAACTTTCCAATATTATATGGCCTTTCCTGATCTATCTAATACAGATCTGGACATGGAGCTTTATAAAAATTATGGCTACTGGGGATGGTCACCTTACAACTGAATGCACATCACTGGTTTTTCAATCTCTTTTTTCCCCCTCTGTAATCTGAACTGGTCATGTTTTGTGATTAACGCCTTTGAGAAAAGTATCTTCCCGAAACATGTCTCCAGGTGCGATCCAAACTCCCTGGGATTCATTAGTCTCATTGTTTGGCAAGGATTTACCGAATGCCTCTGGCAAGTTTCAATTAAAATGTTTGACAGGATGCGTACTATATGAAATATCGGTATGACTTTTTCCCCCACACTGTTGCTCTGTTTTCCCAGCGGAATCGGACAGACTTCTGAATATATGATAAATTAAAGAATGATCAGAGAGACAGGACCATGTTTTGATTCTCCAACAAATACATATACTCTATAATAACTTGTTCGTGGAATATGACGAGTTTTTAATTCTAATTATCAGCACTAGGGCTAAATTTTATATCTATCTGCTGTTTTTTCTGTTCCCTGCTGAACTTGATCTGCTAGTTCTGAAATTTGGCCTAAGAGAGTCAAGGAGATACTTTCAGTATTACGTGTTCATACCATCAGGATATCGAAGAAAAAAGTCTGAAATTTCATGAAAAATTGTTGGAAATTGACATTTTTTTACACTGGTTTCAAAGGAGATTATTTCTTCACGTCAAATTGTCCTCTGTACCACAGGATGTAAAAGCCATGTGAATCTTAATATTGTTAAAACATTTTAAGAAGTTTTCAATATAATAGTTTCCATTATATACAATGAGAAGTTCTCTCCCACAATGCATTGCAAAAATTCCCAGTAACAAGCTCAGTTGTGCAAAATTTGAATTGGGCTCAAAACTACCTTAACATAATAAGATTCATCATCCTAAAACACGTTTAAGTCCTACATAAAAATTTTGTTTATTGAAACAAGCTTTTAGAAAATATATAACATGATAGGTATATCTAACACATGGTATACTGTTAAGTGGCCCTAACACTCGCACAACTAACTGCCCCCACTAAAATTTTTGAAATTTGTCTCTAAATTCAATGTTAAAGTACCAATCGTTACACAGCGTGCATTCTCATGGGACCCACTTTGTACACGACATAGAGTGACATCTGTGACACTTTAATGTTGAACCAATTTGAAAGAGTAATATTGTCTACATATATTGATCACTTATTTTGAACGACATTTTTAAACAAGATCAGACGATTTCCAAATAAGATCAGCCGTTTTTTTAACAGGACTTAATTTCGTTGAAGTTGACACACATTGGCAATGGTAGTGAAAGGGTTAAATGGAGAAAATAGAATGTAGTTTATTTAATATTAGTGTTATCAAATAATAGAAATATGTAATTTCACTACACTGATAATAGCAAACTCAGTTTTTATACATGACAGTAAGTAATGGAAGGAGAAAGTAGGTAATAGAAGGAATTCCAATCCTTCATGACGAACAAGACCTGTAATTCCTACCAATTCCATTATTGCAATTAAATCAACAGCTTTATACTATTATGCAAGATCAATTTATTGTTTATCTTCTTATACGTAAAAAGCTTTTTGCCCTTTTGCCACG